TAGAGAGAACCTTCAGATGGGCCCTTTAGAGGGGCCCTTCAGAGGGGCCCTTTAGAGAGAACCTTCAGAGGGGCCCTTTAGAGAGAACCTTCAGAAGGGCCCTTTAGAGAGAACCTTCAGAGAGAACCTTCAGAGAGAACCTTCAGAGGGGCCCTTTAGAGAGAACCTTCAGAGGGGCCCATCAGAGAGAACCTTCAGAGGGGCCCTTTAGAGAGAACCTTTAGAGAGAACCTTCAGAGGGAACCTTCAGAGGGGCCCTTTAGACAGAACCTTCAGAGGGGCCCTTCGGAGGGGCCCTTTAGTTACTGCACTTTCACGTGTCACCTATCAGTACTTTATTTTCAGGTACTTTCACTTCTTTGTCACAACATATGTCAGCTGATATTTGAAGTCACATGTTCACGTGTGTTCATATTTTTTGAAGTAACCAATAACAACAGGGTTACTAATCCTCTGATCCAATCAGAGCGGGCAGGTGACATTAGACTCCGCCTCCTGCAGCTTCTTTATTAAAACCGTTTAATTCTTTTATTAAAGTGTTAAAACTGTTCATGATGGATGTTACATTATATTCTCTGTGAAGTACTTCTACTTTTAATACTCAGTGTATTTGGAAAAACAATACTTACTTTTACTCTAGTAGAAAAGTTGATGTGGTACTTTTACTGGAGAACATGTTTATTTATCTATTTCTACTTTTACTGCTTTAAATGAGTTCTTCTTCCACGGCTGTGGACAACACAGTAGAACAGCAGCACCCCCTGCAGGTGACGGCCTGGTACTACGTTCAATAATCATCCCATGTGCTCGGTCTGGTCTCTAAAGATCTAATGATAGATTATAGATAATAAATATTAGATTATAGATCATGATTAATAAATAATAGATCTTAGATTCTAGATTAACTTTGGCTCAACAAATGTAAAGAATCTTTTGTTTTGATAAAGTCAAAGATTTATCAACATTCACTTCCTGTTCAATGTTCAACTTTGTTCATTATTTATTAACAATAAACACAATAAAGTTCATCTTGATATTTTCCAGGTTGTTTTTGTTTGTGTTTCATTCAACGTGTAGACAGGTGTGTGTGTGTGTGTCTCTTTATATACAGTCTGTGGTGTGTGTGTGTGTGTGGGGGGGGGGTGCCTTCATATCGGCTGCTGTGACGTCATCATGTGTCCACAAACCCCGACATTCAAACTCAACCGGAAACAGTTTTCAGAGTAAATGTCTCGCCATTCTCCTGGTTACTGCTGCAGCTCTCGTGATACCCACGAGGTCCCGCGAGAAAAGCAGCAGTTAACAGCATTGAGGCGAAACATCTTTGTGGTTTTTAACTATTTGAACAGAGGGATTTTAATCTTTAGCAGCTCAGTTCACGCAGCTTCGTTCTCATCAGATTCTTATCTGAACCTTGAAGTTTTAGAACCAAAAACAAATATGGAAATCCTTGATAATGATCAGCAGTTTACATGGATCAGAAAGCTTGGCACAGAAATGCTCCTTTCCAAATGCTGTTTGAATAATGTGCTGACGGTCACCAGGTAATCCACTTAGTGTTCATGTTTCATCTTCTCATGTTAGACCAGTCAAAAAGTTTAGTTGTTAGAGGCCCCGTCAGCCACCATCTCCTCCAGCTTTAGTTTACAGATTCTTTTACCCACACGGAGTTTACACATGTCCAGTATCAGTTTGTGAGTGTCAGCGAGGAAGAGCGTGAGTACTGGTGAATAAATGTGCAGAGTTCCCTCCAGTTCTTCATCATCAAACAGAAGCTACACAATGTGGTTCTAATCAAGCACTTATGACCATTTGGCCCCAGATGAGCAGTTTCCACCGACCTCAAACCTTTTTATAAAGAAACCAAGTGTTTTCATTGTCAAGGCATCTTTTATTTTCTCTCATTTTTTTGACTTAACAAAAAGAAAACAAACCGCTGGACTTTGTGGAAAACAATCGTCAATGCAAAAGAAACTTTCAAAAGCAAAGTCACAAATGCAGCAACATGATTTCAACACCAACAGAACAACATGGGGGGGGGGGGGTCCATCAATAGGAATGTTGAATGGCGGGGGTGGGGCTACAGGACAAGCAGATGGGGTTAAGTGCTTGAGCTCAGAGCTCCCCACAGTCGGCGATGGCGAGCTTGGAGCTGGTTTTGCCGCTCTGGGAGCCATACGACTCCATCTTCTTCACCACATCCATTCCCTCCACCACTTGGCCAAACACCACGTGCTTCCCATCCAGCCTGTGGGCACAGATCGGTTAATGACACCATCATCGAACACCGGTTCTGCGGTGACAGGTCTACAAGATGCGTTTACTCACCATGCTGTTTTGACTGTGCAGATGAAGAACTGGGATCCGTTGGTGTTGGGGCCGGCGTTGGCCATGGACAAGATTCCAGGACCGGTGTGTTTCAGGGTGAAGTTCTCATCAGCGAACTTGTTGCCATAGATGGATTTTCCACCAGTTCCGTTGTGATTGGTGAAGTCACCACCCTGCGTGTCATCAACAAAGATTAACCTCACACACGAAACACGTTCAGCCGAGCTTCAGTAATAATCGAATGGACGTTCAGTTTCTCACCTGGCACATGAAGTCGGTGATGACACGGTGGAAGACGCAGCCCTTGTAGCCGAAGCCCTTATCACCAGTGCACAGGGCGCGGAAGTTCTCAGCAGTCTTGGGCACGACGTCTTTACGGAGCTACAGAAACAAAGAGTGAAGTCAGTTCATTTCCAACACTGATCACAGCTGCTGCGCTCAGCAGCCCAACGTGAACAAACACTGGCTCCTCGCCATGTTGGACCTGAACCAAAGCCCTGGAGCTGAGACTTTGTTCTGCGGTAACAGTTTGTGTAACCACACCTGAGAAAAAAACCTGGCTCCGCTTCACATTAGTCAATAATCTATGAAGGGAAACTAACGCCTGAGGGCAGAAGATCGAGCTCATTATACTTCCACTGTCAGTGTGTGGTCATTGTGTTGTCAGAGAAACTGCTGCACTGCAGCTTCTGCATGTCCTGCTACTGTACCAGTTCAGTGAGGGGGGGGGGGGCTGCAGAACGCAGCTGTGTGAGTGTGTGTCTGTCAGAGTGTGTGTGTGTGTGTGTGAGTGTGTGTGTCAGAGTGTGTGTGTGTGCGTGTGTGAGTGTCTCTTTCCTCCTGCTCAGCAGTAACACACACTGCAGGGTGAACTGATCTGATGAGGCCATGAGCAGGAGCATGCAGCTTCCACATGTCCGCAGTAAACCACCGGCACCATTTTAACTCGGGGGCCCTTGTTAGGAGCCCCGGCCCCTGGAATCTGGTTCCCGGAGACACCACGAGTTCGCGGCGGAGGCCCGGAGCCGCTCACTGAGACCCCGGCGGGGCTGTGGGCTCACATTGTCCGGACAGCCATGAGCCGGGAACGCCCATGACGAAGCTCCACTCTGATACAAAATGGCTGCTGGGCGCGACGGGCCGGGGTCTGAGCGGCGGAGGAGGAACAAGGGCCCCGCCGCGGAACATGGAGCTGCTCCTCCCGGAGGCCCTTCATCCAACATCCGCATTGTACCGAGCAGACCGCCCCCCCCCAAACAACCGGCACTATTAGCTGCATAAGCTAACATGCTAACCACTGCAGGCGGCGCGTTTTTGAGTTTTAAACACGAATCGAGACCAACGGCCCGCCCGCACACACGGTCAGACCCCGGTACACCGGAGCGACGCCCTCCGACCGACTGAGGCCCGGGGGGTTCCCGGGCTGCAGAGGCCGCGAAGCGCTGCAACAAAGAGCGTCCGGGAGGCTCAGCACCGGGCAGCGAGGCCCCGGACAGCGGGGATCACGAGTCCTCTCCCGGGCCTCGATGTGACAGAAGCGGCTCATCACATCAACATGTCCGCTCGTTATTCAACGTTACAGCGGAAACGGCCCCGCTGCTCGGTGACGTGAAGAACAGCCCGAATCTCATTCATCTCATTCACGAGGAAACAGCGCGCACGTGAATTCTGTTCTCACGTTCACGGATCCGGTCCCGTTACTCGCGTCGAGCGCCACAAACACGTGCACATGGCTCCTTCCAGAGAACCGTGACCGCGTGGCTCGCGTTAGCTGACGGGGACGCTGAGCGCACACACCGGGTTTTAACGTCCCGCAGTCACCGGGGACCGGGCCGGGGCAGGACCACCGACACCCGGCGGCGGCTCGCTGACCCCGGGCTGACTAACGGGAGTCACATCCCGCGGAACCACAGACCGCTTTACCTCCATCACGATCCGGCCGATGGCAGCGCCGCCGGCGGTGACGTCGAAGTAGACTCTGGGGTTGGACATGTCTGCGGCGGAGGATCAGAGCGGCGGCACCGGAGCAGCGCGAGGACCCGAAAAAGATGGAGGCGCCCGAACACGTTTTATATAACCCACCGGGAGGCGGGCTTCAACTGCAGCGAGCCAATCGGTGACAGCGGAGCTTTTAACCGCGTCAGTCTCCGGCTCCACGGTGCGTTCGATTGTCGCACCGGAGCGCCCCGCTCACCCGGGGGCTGGGTGTGTCGCAGCACCGCCCTCTTCCGGTGTCCGCGTCCAAACAACCGAACTGACGAATGCCAGAGCAGCGCGCGCCACAGATGACTGACAGCTCGGGCGTCCAATCCGGCGCGCGAACGTCAACCTCCCGCAGTCAAAGCGCGTTCCCGCCAACAGCATGACAAGTGTGTGCGTGCGTGCGCGTCGGTCACGCGGCTAGGGCGCGGTCCGTTCTCCGCAGGAAGACATGACGTCACTGGAGACGTGACCTTTGACCTGAAGATTTTTTCATTCATAACTTTAATTAAACGTGTTTTAATATTTGCGGTGGAAGATGAACAGCGTCATACTGTGTACTTTATTCATATAAGTACACAGTAATACTTCTGAAATACTTTGATCTCACCAGAAACTTCAGAGGACGAGTTCTAAGAAAGTTCATGGAAAGAACTTCTCCCTCTGTCTCCCCCCCCTCTCTCTGTCTGTCTCTCTCCATCTGTCTTTGT